GTTTTTAATTACAGCACACATAAAACGTTTGGCATGATCTTGACACTAATTCAATTTTACTTTACTAAGAGCATAAACAGAATCAAGTTTCAATAATTATGCTCCAGAAAATAAAAATTTGGGGGGTATTTCCTGCCTTTCAAATATACAACTCTATATAGCTAACAGCTACAAAGGCTGAATAAAGTTACAAAAAGAATTTGTTCCCACGGTGCAGAAAACTTGAGAAACATCTTCTTCTTCCAATATGAAAGGCAGACAGAAAAGGAAAAATACTCTAGTTTAATGAGCAAGCAAAATAACTTGCAGCCGAGTGTAATTCTGTCCTAGCTACAGATCTTTCAATTTCAAATACAAATTAAAATAACCTGAAGACAATCTACCGGACTACCTTTCCCCCAAGTAAATTAATACTTGCCAATCACATAAATGAAACAGACCTGAAGTTTTGATATTCAAGTATTTCCCTACACTCTAGGACAAGCTCAGTTGCTTTTCAAAGGAAAGAACATGAACTGTATGAACACAGTATCAGTATTTACTATGAAACAGAAACTTTTTTCTGGTGGGGGGAGCAAAGCCTAATTAGTATTATCTTTTATGACAATTCTTGAAAATATGATGAGACAGAAAAAAAATTTATAAAAGACATCCGTTTAAAAAGGGAGAATATATTACAATCGTGATAAATAGAAAAGTTTCTTTCCCTCTACAAAACAAAGAATAAAAACCTCATCCAGCTTACTCAATACCTGAAATCAGCCATTACTTCTTTATCATATTACATTAAATAATAGAAACTAATTTAGGAAAGTTATTTTTAAAAACGCCAACAAGGTATCTAATCTTCTAAAGCAGGAAAACTAAAACCAGATACACGTGGCATTGCTTTGAGCATAAACATGGATTCGTGTAATGAACACCACAATCGACTTTTCTTAAATGGCTACCTTACTTTTACTTGTAACTTGTAAAGAAGTAGCATAAATGGCATGTTTTCTAGGCCACGCATTTGTGATGCCTACATTTTGCAGTTTATTTGAAGATCCTCTTAGCTAGCAAAAAAAACCAGGAAATCCCCAAGTTTCCACGTTGCTCTAGAATCTTAGGAAGCTGCTCACTTAACCCAAAGAGCTACACCGTGGTAACTGCAGCACACGGCCTCCATTACCATTTTTGGGTCAGTAGGACCCCTGCACCACTCTGCCTACTAGAACATCAAGAACAGTAAAAGTTCACATGGTCTGATGCGACCTATTACCTATCTCCTTGCTTTAAAGCAGCACACGAACAGTATGCCCCAGAGCTTGTCCTCACCCCAAGTAAGTACCCGTGAAAGCACTTCTACCCAGAGTGCAAACGCCCCTGATAGGGTCAAACAGAAACAAAAGCCTTGTCATTTGAATAATGGAAATACAGTATCCTCACATTATCTGCAGAAAGTAAACTGTTAAGACTGCTGAAAATCATGTTCCCAAGTGTCAGCACATAGTATTGACACCACTTCACTCTTTTCCCTCTTCTAGGCTACCAGAGGGTGAATTCTGTGGCACAGGTGGGTTACTCAGGCTGAATGTCAGGGGCATTTGGGGCAGACAGGAGTAGAGGATATAAAGCACTGAATTTTTACAAGCTACAAAGAATTAGGCAGTTGCATTAGCCCTGGAAATTACAAATAAGTAGAAGGTAACTCCAAGAGAAGCATGGAGTACCCAAGATCACATTATCTATACCAAGACATCTTTTGACAAAAACTGTATCTGGTTAAAATTCGTGAGTCAATAAATGGAAACTCCTACTTAAATTCCTACAATTTTAGTTATTTTTATCTTCAACAGAAAATACCATCATCACCATCCAGCACCTTTACAAGAAATTGATGCCTACAAATTATAAATACATTTACAATGTAAATTAATGAACTGTTATCATGTGGCATCTATTTTTAGAAATGAAATTATGAAGTGTCTTTGACAAGTATGAAGTGAATTTATCTGCATTCTTGATTACAACTTCAGAATATCAAACTACAGAATATCAAAGATACTTGTACTGAAATCTTTTTCTCTGAAGAACAAACTCCAAAACAGTAAAACTGATTTATTTCCTTTGTTCAGAGAAAAATAAACACATCATATGGATGCTTTACATAAATTTTCCTATTTGCATCTTACCTACCTTATGTGATATGATAGAAAATTAATTCAACTGAGTACTTTCTAAACTGTTCACATACCGTAACTTTTTAAATTAGCAAGACACATAATGGTTCTGCAGCTAAGAAACCTTGCATTCGAACATGCATGATAAAAATAATGGACTGCAAACATCTCTATTTTTTAAAAGTCATTAATGAAAATAATTTAAGCTCCTAAAGCAGCTATTTTAAATAAACCAGGTGATACAGACCATTTTAACTGGCCTGTGTTTCCTAACTTGACTGCTGTCTGTGTATTTTATTCAACATGCACCCAAGCTGGTACCAACCTAGAGGAGATTAAGAAACAGTAAGGACTTTTTCTTTTTTATGAAATTTCCCTCTTCCAGCAATTTCAATATCTTCATAGAAGGCATGACTATAAAGTAATGAGAAATCTTTTAAAACATTCCAAAATTTACGCACCTAAGGATATAGTACTGTAAGTGCGGATTATACTTCTAACATGACGTAGCAGCCATCCACAGAGAGTTGAGTGGGTAAAGAATCTAAACAAAGCTGATTTTCACTTGAATGGCAGAAAGTGAGGTTTTGCTTCTTTCTTCTTGTGTTTCTTTTCTGCACAAACTTTCTTCAGTTACTCTGAATACAACTGAAAATGAAGACCACAGAACTATACTAAGCTGTAGTAACATCCACAACCTGTTATGATCTATTATACAGACACTGAAAAGTTAACAATGTTCAGGTATGTGTACAGCTTTTGATATAAGCTTGAAAAAATTAGTTTCACTACTTAGAACCATAAAGCATATATTTCTGATGAAAGTGCTTTTAAAAATACAAATAACAATCACAAGAATATAGCATCAAGTGAAGCGACACCATAAAAAAACACAGATGTGTCCACAATGTGAGACTTTCCATGAAACAACTGGTGTAGATTTTTAAAAACTCAGTATAACGAAGGAATGGAGTGACATGGATATTAACTGAGATTATATACGGGCAATTTGGGAGTCGCTTGGTGATGTACTACAGAATGCCTTTTAGCTTTCTTATGTGTGATAATGGTTCAGGTTTTACAAGAGACTGTCCCTCTGTGTCCTTATGAAAGGCACAAAGTACTCAGAAGTACAGTTTACAATGTCCCTAACTTTCATATTCACACAAAAATGTGTATGTGAGTAGATGACACATCTATGTACACATACAGATTTGTACACATAAACATACACTGAGGAGATAAAGCAAACTATTCATGATTAGTGCATCTAGATGAAGAATATTTGGGTGTTTGACAGCTTACTCTCAATCATTCTGTAGGCTTGAAAAGTCTTAATACAAAAAGTTACTGGCAAACATCATTTATAGCACCAGATACCTAACTTTAGGAAGCCAACTTAGTAATTCCTATTCCCCTTCTGAAGTAAAAGGTAATTAAAAGACCTTAAGGAAAATATAGGTAAGTTTCTTCTACATTTTTTATTCTAAGAAGAAAAGCAGTTCATCAACCAAAATAAAACAAAATCCAACTCCTTCCCCAAGAAAAGCCACACAAACAAAAAACAAAAGAAAACCACCAAAACACAGAAAATACAAGAGTAAAAAAGTTAAACTACAGTTTTGTTATTAAAATTTAAAAGCAACATAACCAAAAAGTATAATTATTAGTACAACTGGTAAGTAAAACAAGGAAATAGATGAGAAAAAAGAAAATAGTGATTTTAATGTATAATAGGTAAAGATTTGACCGATTATACCAATCAACCTCTTTTTGGAAAATAAGTTCTGTAATTTTTATGGTTGCAGTTTATCACATAGGGCTTCATGATTTTCTCACACCACCCTGATGTTTTGGATAAAAGGTATTTTCAAGCTCAATTAAGACATTGATCATACAGGAAACCTGTATCTATCCAAAATGAACCATAATGGACTTTTAAGGATTTTAAGTATAAGACTAAGAGGTACAGAAAAAAAAAAAGTTCCACACGTATTTAATATGAAGGGAATCCTTTGGCATATCAAAAGGGCCCTCACTGACTAGGGGAGATAGATAACAGTAAAGGAAGACCACCAAGTTAGAAAAGACTGTAAAATCATATTAGCATATATTATAAGTCACTAGTAATAGTTTTAGGACACTCATATATTATTACATCCAATGAACCATGGAGTCTGTTGCCCATTTATGCTACATAGTAACTGGATTGAATTTTTTCCACTTAGCGTCACCTTTATGGAAACATACCTCAAACTTTATGAAAGAAATAAACAAACTGAGAAATAAAAATGGCTTCACAGAAGTTTACCTTATAGTTAGTTGATTTTATAAATTCTACTCCTTCAAAATAAGGAAATATACTAATGAGAGATTCCTTGAAAGTGCAACACAACAGGTTTCAAAAGAAAATCACTTGGGCTGGGGATTTAGCTCAGCGGCAAAAGCACCTGCCTGGCAAGTGCAAGGTCGTGAGTTCGGTTCCTGGTACCGGAGAAAAACCAAAAAAAAAACAAAAAAACAAAAAGAAAATCACTTGTGACTTAACTGGCCTCCTCCTACTTCCATCCTTGCTGTGATATTTGAAAGAGGAAAAGCCAGGGCTACAATTTTCACTGAAAATTTTTCACCTGGCACATTTATTCTTAGTAAGTGAAAAGCACAAACTAATATGGTATCAGTTTTAAGTGCTTATAATTTAAATCTTTATAAGCCCAGCAATCGAATAGGTAATGGAAAACTGTATGTTCACTGTAATAAAGGCAGGGTTGTGGGTTTTTTGGTTTGGTTTCTTTTTTTTGCATTCACTATTCTTTGACTTTCACAGGGCAAAAAGCATATTGGAAAATATTTAATTGATCTTATAACATGAAGGATATCAAAATTAAAGTGATAAGAGAATACAGTGGTAAACAAAAATTAATGACAAAAATACAATATGACTTGGGAAAAATGTATCAGTTAAACCACAATATTCAAACTGAAACAAAAAAGATTATAATCTTTTCAACAATGTGTATTAAAAGTAACTTATAAAAGTACTTAAAGAATGCAATTTGAATGGAAATTTTAAAATTAGTATTTGAGGACAATATACTTTAAACTCAGGAAAACACAACATCAGCATAAAACACTTAACTGAAGAGGGTGCTTTAAAGCCTAATCTGTGAAATCAGTCACCATTAAGATTATCTGCCAGAGATGGACTCATTTGTCAAATAATCTACCTCATTACAATAACCTTAGAAAATACCAATCAAATTTGCATTTATGGTATAAAACCTGTTAAGTCAACTCATTCAAAATGGCACTCAACTCAATTTTTCAGTTTTTTAAAATTATGGTGTTAAAATTATAGTAGAGCACAACCAGGGAAATTAAAAATATTTATGATTAAAATGTCAGTGAAAAACATTTTTTGTATGGATTAAAAAAAAAACATTCACTCAAAAATACTTCCAAATACGAGCCACAGTTATTCCATCAGAACTTTAAAGGACAGAGAGCAGACCACAGCTCCAGTTTGAAAGGTAACAAGAAATACATAAACTGATAAGCAAAGCCAGGAGTATAAGTTACTTTGAAAGATCAACTTGTATCCATTTTAATGAAGAATTAAAGAATACAATGTGTTAAAGACATATTTAAAAGACTAGTAGTAGTAGGGTAAGACAGATGAATCAAACTCTGTTTCTAGCCTAAATAATTACAAGACACTGAAAATGTAGTGTAACTCACGTTTTCTTTCAAGTTTAAAAATTTCTATCCATTGCCTCTATCTTTGGTGTCACTGCCACCAATTAACACAGTATACAGCTTAGAAACCTAATTACGATCTTCAACTAGGAAAAAGGAAATAGACATTATTTCTTTAAAAAGAAGATATAAAGAACATGATCCTACTTAATTTTGTCTCATGGTCCCACAGTATCCGAAATATCATGCCAAAACGTAAGCTGAAAAGGGAACATGGTCATTTCTCTTAACTGCACCAAAAATTTAGCTACTGTACGCTGGTGTGATGACAGCCAGTAGTACACAGAGGCTACAGAGAGACATAATATACTTAAGTTTAGCTCACAATTAGTCAATTATTAAAAGGAAGGTTGGACAACAACGCCTTCACATGAACATGTTACAACTTTGTTCTCTCGCAGTTGAAAGGATAGTGTAATTACCTTAAATTTACAGAAAACATTAGGAAACAGAGTAACTGTCATGATTAAAATAAAATATCAAAGTAAATTAATTTAACAGTGTTAAATATATTCACATGATCACCATTGTGATTCAAATGGCCACTAATGAAGTTATATATCAATATATGTACATAACATATGCCACAACAGTTTTTGTAAGTTTGACTTTTTTGCAGACCAGGTAATTTTACGAGACAAATAATCTTGTATCAATTCTTCATATTATGAAAGAAATTAAATGTTGTAAGTAGTTTCATTCCTCTGGGGGAGGAGAGGTGAACCTCTAAAATGTCTGTGCTGATCGGAGAGTTCTACCTTCTTAAATATTTGCATTTGTTGACCAAGACAGATTCCTATAAGCCGAGGAGAAACAAATCTTACAATATTAATGGATCTTGTAACATTGTCAGCGGCATTTAGCAGGTGTCTGCCACAAAGAAGAAAGCCGGGTCCTATAGCAGAGCCTTCTGAGAATAGGGTTGCTGTGGCTGAGGTGGCTGCTGGCTGGCTCCGGGCTGAGGCAGGGCGGACGACGTTAAGGTATAGTTTGGCACCTGGGACATACTAGCTCCTGCGTTCTGGTAGATTGTGACGTCAGCAGTTGCAGCAACAGCGGCGGCAGGAGGAGGACTATACATTGCGGCCTGGTTGGGATACGTAGTTCCTTGAACAGAACTAACCATTGCACTGCAGATGGAGAAAAACACCCAATGAGCTAAATACTGCATTATACAGCCATTCAGAGACACACGGAAAAGCTATTTATCAAACATCTATTCATTTAAATTCATTTGATAATTTTTATTAAATATCTATGATGTATCAAACGCTTGTTATTGGAACTGAGCTGTTGTAAAGAAAAAGAAAAGTCACCGTGGACCTTACATTTGAGTAGGAAGAGGATAACAAACACATTTGTAGTATGTAAGCAAGTTCTAAGTACTATGGAGAAAAACAGCGTGGTAGGGAGGACCAAAAGCATTTGGCCCAAGGGATTCTAGTTAATCCTCAGTGGTAGATAAGGCCTTTCAGAAAAGGCAACATTTAAACAAGAACCTAAAAGGAGGGGGTCATATCAATTATCCAGGAAAATAAGTTTCAGGCCACAAAAAAGACGGATTTGAGAGAGAAAATGCCAGGTAAGTTCAAGGAACAGCAAGCGGGCCACAAGGACTGCGAGAGAGCAAGCTTGAGAATTCCCTAACGCTAAGCAGCAGGATTAAGGGAGAGGCGTCTTAGAATACACAGTGTCGTGAAAGCCGGGAGGACTCTGTGAGTGAGATGGACAGACACTGGCTGGTTTTGAGAAGGGTGATGTGATGACTTAGATTCTAACAGGCTCTCTTTGGAACAAGAATAGAAGCGAGAATGCTAGAGGCTATTAGATTCTCCCACGTGACAGGTGACAGAGGAGATGGGAAAAGGGTCAGTTTTGGAGAAAGTCTCACTGCAATTGGTTAATAGACAAAGGAGTCAAGAATGCCTGAAGTTCTATAACTGGCAAAAAAAAAAAAAAAAAAAAAAAAAAAAGCTGAGTGCCCATTCACTGAGAAGGAGAAAAATACAGACAGGAATACAATGGACTAGGATGGGAAGGGTGTGAGAAAATGAAAGAATAGTTTTGGACATGTCAAGTGAGATTCCCGAAGACACACACAAAAAGGTAACACACAGGCAATCAGCTATTCACGTCCACTCGGGAGCCATCAGCAAGTGTGATGTTCACAATCACAGGGCTACAAGAGACCCTAGGAACTAACCACTAAGAGCCAAAAAGCAGTCCCCAGAGCAAGCCCTAGACATCCAGAAGTCAAGGAGCTAGAGACACCAGGCAAAAGAGACTGAGGAGGAGGCGCAGTGAGGCAGAAGGAAAACTCAGAGACAGTGGTCACGGCCAGGGAAAAGGTATTTCCAAAATGACAAAGGGATTTGACTTGTTAAACAGGGTAGGAGAAACAGCTGACTACAGGAGCTGGCAATGGAGAAATCACCAGTGCTCTTGACAAAAAAAATTCCAGTGGAAGAGTAAAGATGAAAGTCTGATAATCTCATTTCTCTTTATTTTCTTAGAAATACAAAAGAAGTAAGAGGCTTTCTCTATACCCACCACCCTATTTATTATGTATCTGTGCCTACATCACTTTAGATGCTATGTGACGTCAGGTATATGGAACCTGATCCTACGAAAAGAGCGAAGCTGTTGATGTCACCTCTGAAGAAACACGTGTTCATGCCCACAGGTGCTTTCTGTCCTAGCGCAACCTTGCAACATTTAGCCCTCTCAGCCTGGCTTATTCCTATCTGTTAGTTCTTAGCTTCATTTGCATTAAGACGCCTTCTTGCTTTCCCACCTCTCGTGTGCCCTAAGAAGGTCCGACGGCACACCTGTCACTTTTCCTCCCCGGCAGCTACCTTTTTACTTGTCTCACGCCCACATACTAGAGTTATCTTAAGAGCCAGAACTGAGTTCCATGCACCTTTATAGCACACTGTATGACACACTTCTATGCCAGATAGGAACTCAGTAAATACCAGATAAATGCTTAAGCACTAACGATTACAATTTCCAGCTTTGCAAAGGCTCTGAGACAATTTCATTATATATGAATGTGTAATGTAGATATTTATAAATATATAAAAAAATGTGTTTAAATGGACAAGAAAACTGCTAGATAAACCCAGCAGTGAGGGTCACGGTAAGATACCTATCTACTTGCATTAATGACCTGCATACACGAGTCAAGCTTTCTGATTGCAAATCAGGGACAATGAAGATTTCTGTAGTTGTTTTTGATAGGCAGTTGCTTCAGATGTTGCTTTAAAAGTGTTCTTCAGTTCACACCCAGAAGCCTATTTCTTATTCCCTTACATAGAATTTTGGTTTTAGAGTCAGTATTTTTTCAGACTTCTGTCATCCTAGGTCAAACTTACTGCTCACTGGGAAAGGTGGCAGTGATAGTTTCCGAAAGCCACCTAGAGTGATGGTTGGTCAATCTACTAAGTCTATTACGAGCACAGATATACAGGAACAGCAGCAGCAGTCGGGAACGGCATGGGAGCTATCCACAGTATAAGCAAAGATGGAAAGTCTCAAAGGCCTGGTATGTGGCCGGCATGACCACCAGTACCTTATTATTGTGACTTACAGTACGTGGTAGGAGAAGTCAGATACACACCTGGAGTTACTGACAAGGTCTGAAGAAGGAGTGGCCCTCAGTAGCATATCTATAATGTAAGGAATATGAGCCTTACATTATAGACAATGAGAAAGCCATAAAGGGAGGGGGTTAATGGATTAAAAATAATCAAGATATTTTAAATGCATGTACCAATTTCCCAAAATGAACCTCACCATTCTATATTACTAACATGCTCTCATAAAAAATAAATTAAAAAAAATTTAAGAGCTTTAAATAGCAACAGGATAGAGAGACTCACAGGGCAAGATTATAAGCCAGGGACCTTGTAGATCAGGCAAGAAATGATGAGAGTCTAACTACAAGATGAAATGATATTAATGGGAAAGAGTTATTTAGAAGAGTAACAAATAATTGCGTGCATGGGTGACATGGTAGGGAGCACGTACAGAACAGAGATAAGAGAGAGAAACACTGCACGAACTGTAGGGTTACACCCCAGGCCATCGGGTGGATGGTGGAACTGTAAACTGAGATAAGGAATACGGTACAGAGAGAGAACATGCTAATAGCTAATATTTATGGAATGTTCAGCACACGCCAGGCCCGTGGTATTTGCATCACCAATTATCCTTCCATATGTGCTGCACTGTAAAATATAAAGTTACAACCAAAGTCAACGCTCGTACCATTATTTATATCAGGATGGACCACAAAATTGCACTAATTAGGTGTCAACTCTGCAGCCAGACTGCCTGGTTTTGAATCTTGGCTGAGTGGGTTACCTCCTTCAGAGAAGCAATGAATTAGTGTGTGTAAAGCATAGGGCACAGTGCCTGGCATACGTTAAACACCCCATAAATGTTAGGCCTCCCTATTATCTTCCTTCTTAAGGTCACTTCAGAATACTAGATGGGTCGAGATGATAATGCCTGAAAAATCTCTAAGCACCTCTCACACCGGACTCTGCAGGTGAGTACAATACTGAGGACAGTAAGGGAGCACTGCTGGGAAAGGTTCCAGAAACTGTGCCCATGCCACCCCGACAGCTCTGCCGCAAGTCGGAATACCATGACTTGCAGAATATAGCTCGGTAACCTCTTAACCTATGACTTACTGTCTCAAGGAACAAATTCGTCTTCCATTAATTCAAGTAAGACATTTATGTAAGTAATAACCACTTAACTGCATGGCAGACAACATCATAAGTAAATGCCAAAAATAACTGGACCCGCCATCTCATAGTCAGCTATCTGCCCCAGGGACCACAGAAGCATATTCTTGTGCCTTCTACAATAAAATTAAATTCTGACATAGGCTAAAAATAAGAAAATATTTTCTTAAAGAAATAGCTCAGATTATATATTCTAGTAACAGCATTTAGTGGGAAATTTGGGGGGAAAAATGATATAGTTACTAGTATTGTTAAAGACATTATCAACTATCAAAGACTCAACAAAAACACTTGATAGGAACATAAAAAAGTACAAAACTAACACTAAAGTACAGCTTAGCGAGTCAAACAAACCGGTCCTCTCAGTGCCAGAGGGCTTCCTGGAGACCCCACTCTGCACCACAAAGGAGGCCATCTGCCTGCAGGCAATTGAAAAAACTGTAATAGCACCATCTTCAAACAACACCAATAATCCAATTACTTGGGGTAGGAAGCTGGGGTCTGCTGGCTAGGAAGGGCTGGGCTGGCGGACGGAGGAACTGCGCCTTGACTCAGAGAAGACAGCTGCTCCGGGGGAAGGCTGTAGCTCTGCAGATGGCTCATCTGTCCACTCCCTGCAACCAGGTAAGCACCACTCTGAGGAGGGCCTGGGTAGACCTACAGCAGCCAATGAGAAAACATATTCCCTTATGAAGCTTTCACACACTTTATTTATTTTGGTTTTTTTTGAGGCAGGGTCTCACTATGCAGTTCAGGCTGCCCTTGAGCTTACTCTGTAACCCAGGCTGGTCTGGAACTTGCAATGATCCTCCTGCCTCAGCCACCCAAGTACTGAGATTAGAGGCATGCACTACCACGGCCAGCTTAACACACTTTCAAAACTTGCTGTGTCGAGAAAAATTAAGTTATTTGTGTCCCCAGCTGTTTTACAAAAAGACACTTTTAAGTGACAGGGACTACTGACTTTTGTGTTTAACCAATGAACGGATTCATGTTTATCTCCACACGGAAGCATTAAAGGAATATATCTTAAAACTTTGTAATAATATAATTGATTTTTCATTAAATATATTTAACGCTTTCTACATTGATATTTTTAAAGGGTATTTAGGAGGTGTGAATTCACTGCTTTATAGTCATAGACTGTATATGTAACTCACATTTCTAGAAGTAAAACTTACTGGACCCTGAGCAAGCTAACTTCCTACAGCAGGGGTCAGCAAAGCTTCTTACAAAGGGCTTGATGGCAAGTATTTCCGGTTATTATGCCGTATAACTACTTAATTGCACAGGTGCAGAACACACCTACAATGAAGACGCAAGTGACAGCAGGTGCATTCCAATAAAAACATTATCTAGAAAAATAAAAAGAAATAGGGAACAGGCTGGATTTGTTTGCCTACTCCTCTATTTAAAATCTGTAATTTTTTAATCTAGAGAGATGGAAGTTTCCAATACTCTCAGTCTTAAATATGTTTTAATTTTCTGTAGTATTCATTACCTATGTTTAAAAAGAACTTCTATTGTCTATGTGGTAAGACCAGTCACGTGTTAAGACAGTAACAACCAGCAAGAGACACGGACAATAGTCATCTAACGTTTCTGTTAAATCCTAACAGACTCACCACATACCAGCACCCAAAATGGTATGATGGTGCTGTATCATTGCAAACACACCTGTACCAGTCCTTATAACTGTATCCCACTGTTCTTTGCAAACTGAATGTGAAAGTTTGGTTATTTGTCTGAGTCAAATCGGGTGACGAAGGTATTCTCTAGCCTTGTGTTTCTTGGGCCTGGCTGTTCACCTCTTGGGTGCTGACCCTCATTTCAGGGGAAATGGACCATGGGAAAAAACAATCCGAACAAAGTCTGTGGCCACTGTAAGTGGACAAAACAGAGTTATCTGGCTAATTACTCCTTATAACCAGAACACGCACCATTTGTGTGAGATAAAGAAAGAAAGGGTCTCTATATTTGCATGACATGCATTCTACTGTAAAGGAGGGGGCAATTCCATATTAAGGCGGCTTTTAAAAAATAGACAGAAATACTGAATTTTGTTGGTTAATAACAGCTTTTCTTTTTTTTCTGTTTTTCTTCCAGTACCGGGAATCGAACTCACAACGTTGCGCTTGCCAGGCAGGCCCTGTGCTACTCAGCTAAATCCCCAGCCCCAATAACAGCTTTTCAACTCATTCTTTTCCACTCCATTTAAGTCTCCCTTTTAAGAATAAGTGGAAGTTCATTAGATGTTTAAGAGAGGTTTGCTTTTTATTTCTCTAAATGGTACATTTTAATTCATGGGTTTTTTAAAAAATATACTTTATTGAGCTATGACTGACATAGAAAATGCTGTATGTATTTATTGTATCCAACCTGATAGGTTTGGAGGTGAGTATACACCCTTCAAGCCATCACTGTAAGCTATGCCATGAACATAGCGATCGACTCAGGAGTTCCCTCTCCCCATTTTTTTTCTTTTTGTGATAAGAACACCTAAATTAAGCAGTTCACTCTAAAAAAAAAAAAAAAAACCTGTAGACTCTCTGAAGAATTCAGTAATAACTAGAAATTTGACTTAAATATGACAAAAACTATTTTTATCCAGATAATTATATATGAAGCTCTAAAAATATATAGTTATTTGGCCCTCAGTTTTAAAGATTCTGATTCAGTAGATCTGGGACAGGGCCAAAGTGTATTTTTTTTAAAACTTGATGAGCAATTCCACTGCCTATGGCTGTGTAACAGCAATTAAAACAGAAAAGACTGATTTACTTAGCATATCATACATTGTATTCATTAAAGAAAATTTGATTAAGCTTTATTTTCATTCTAAACATTACTTTCAGTTTCACGTTTCACAAAAATACTGCTCCTCTCAATAACTTTATGTGCATTAGAGAACTTAAAAGAATATACTTGAGTTTTTCAAAGCATACCTGTGCCCCAGACACACCAGATGACTGCATGTAATACTGCTGATTCTGTAACTTTGCATACATGGAATACATTGGATCTTCATTCATTAACTTAGTATACAATGAAAGCGCCTCCATCACTTTGACATTAAGTTCTGAGAGTTCTGAATGTTTTCTGAAACATAAAGGAGCAATCTGAAACACAGCTGTTCACTTAAACGATACAAAGTTCTAAACACTAATATATCAAAATGTGAATAATAACAAAAATTAACACTAGAAGACTATTAAATATTTAACTTGCCATAAAAATATTTTATATTTTAGCCCAGAAGCAACCAGATTGTTTAAGATTTATGTACTGTACTTGATTCTACCTTGAAATAGGTAGGCTTTCCCATAGTTCATGTGTGGGACCTGGTAATGCCACTATAGGAAAGATGATTATGCTATCTCTTACTTTTAAAAAGACTTAATGCAAGAAAGGTCAACAAAGTCCTTACTTTTAAAAAAAAGATGAGCCCAATTCTTCACATTTGGCTAAAAATGGGAAAATAAGGAATGGTTCCTTTAGAATATTTTTTAATTAACCCTTGGCAATGGTGATGGCAAAACTATGGATCGAACCCAATGCCTCTGCACTGAGCTACAGCTCCAACTTTTAAAAAGATTAATTAATTACTTTATTTATTTATTTATTTTCAGACAGTGTCTTGCTAAGCTGCTCAGGCTAGACTTGAATTTGTGAACCTCCTGCCTCAGGCTCGCAGATCGCTAGGCTCACAGGTGCACCACCATGCCCAACTTGAAGTATCTTTTTTAAAAAGACAGACATAATCTACTCTGTAGTGTACAGAGATAATTTCAGGGAAGAAGGTACACAAATAGATATAATACATGTTCTGTTACCTATCAATGTCTTCCAGCTTTTCATCAATGAGAGGTCCCATCTGGTGACACATTGCTAAAATGGTAAGAATTGAAGACATAAGAAAACAACAAAAAATGAGACTGAGAAATATTCATATAATTAAAGAAATAAAAGATTTAATTTGGAATAATACAAATTACATTAATTAACCTTAGTTAACAACTCAAAATTGATTTTCTTTTTTTTGTTTTGTTTTGTTTTGTTTTGTTTTTCTCCGGTACCAGGAACTGAACTCACGACCTTGCACTTGCCAGGCAGGCGGTTTTGCCACTGAGCTAAATCCCCAGCCCCTGATTTTCTTAAAGTATAATGGTGAGGGGCTGGGGATTTAGCTCAGCGGCAAAAGCGCCTGCCTGGCAAGCGCAAGGTCGTGAGTTCGGTTCCGGTACCGGAGGAAAACCAAAAAAAAAAAAAAAAAAAAAGTATAATGGTGATAACTTAATCTAAAACATTAGTCACCAAATTTAAACCTTTTTCGTTTTACAAGGTTCTAAGATGTTGAGTAAAATATTTAATCTGGATTAAAAAGTGTAAGAATTCAGGCTTTATCCAAGGTTTAAAAAGTGAAACTGGATCAAAGAAAAGTGAAAAATGTTACATTTATGATTCTCAAAACTCGTTCCTTTCTTGTATAGCAGATAGACTCTCCAGTTATTCTTTGTTTTTGCAAAGTAAACAAAAAAGTAAGAGTTACCTTCAAGATGAAGTAGCTCTGGCAGATCTGGCTGATTATCACTGGGATCTGTACTTTGCAACATCTGTAACAACTGGTCCATTTTATCCTACAGGAATTAGATAGTTAATATAAAAGCATCCAATTGCAATGAAACATTGTATTTCATTCTATTAACCAGATAATGGGTATAAAACTTTCATAATTTATAGTTTTTTCTTTTTCTGGTACCAGGAATCAAACTCACAACCTCATGCTTGCCAGGTATAATTTATAGTTATGAAGACTTCAACTTTGCTTATGTTTGTAGCTCCCAAGAATTCTTATTTTTTTAAATTTTTTTTCAAATTTTTTTTATTTTAAAGAGAAAAGAACAAAAACAAAGACAAAAACGAAACAACATAAAAACAATACAGAATTTCAAAACCAGGAAATCAACAATGTTTGTTCTATTACTTATCTTCTAAGTAGCTGCTCAGATTACCAGATACAGGTATGCAAGATTGATCAAACAAACAATTAAACACTAATTGTTCCTCTCAATAAACCAATAGAAATTAGTAGTACAATTATCTTAGCTGTGTGTGTGTGTGTGTGTGTGTGTGTGTGTATTCTTTCTTTTCTTCTTTCCCTCATCCTAGTTGTTCTTTCCTATTAAGCAGTTTCTGTCCCTTTCACAATATCTACTGTACCTTTAAGTTTTATTTACTCTTTCAGGTTCTTAGGAGACAATACAGTGTTTACACATGCGGGTCTGATTTATTTCACTTATGAGTATGGTCTCTAGTTGCACCCATTTACCTATAAGAATTCTCTTTAATAGCATGTAAACTTAGACCCTAGAGAGCCATTCCTCTATATTTTTGCTAACAGAGATTCTCTTAAATTAGAAGATATAGAGCCGCATTTAAACTTACAGTGTGTGAGTTCTTCTACCCCTTATATCACGCTGAAGGATTTCACTTTGTTTGGAGCAGCTGTAGCTTAGCCACACAACAGGTGTGACACCCCTCTAACGATGGCTTGCTATGACTAACCACTCAGTCATGCCTTCTCCCCAGTGGTGAGAGCAGCTGCTGTTTCAGTGAGGCAAGCTCAGCTCTATTACAGCTGTTCTTGGAAGACGGGCTGTAAGGATTTACTCTGCATTTTCTTTCCACCAATGTTTCAGTGTGTCACTAAAAGCCAGAAAACTTGCAGTTTCTGTATTCTCGCATGTGAAAAAGGCGGGAAGGTATCTCTCCAACTCATGGCTCAGCTCTATTTCAGGATCTTTGGTTGTAAGGATCAATAGAACTAAAATCATCATTACATAATTATATGGATAAGTACATATATATTTTTAATCAAACTAGTTCTAAGCTCCCAAAGAATACAACTGAAATAATCACAAAGCCTTCTCCATGCACAGCTTTTATATGGTTAGAAGTCGCATAATAATTAAAGGCTATTAATTCTAAGAAAAGCAGTAATTCAAAAAAACCAAAATAATTGTGAAGGAGAAGTTTGAGGATGAATTAAGCATTAGAGTGAAAATAATAAAAATGTTTAAAAACTCAACTCAGATGAACAAATGAATTCTGGATTTTGAAATGGCTACTACTTTTCAAAGTAAACGGTTCACCATTTTAATTTTAAGAAGTCTACAAAGAGGAAGGCATGTATCAGAAAAGTTTGTATACAGCCAAAAAAAAAAAAAAGGTAAAATGAGAATGGACAGTCAACTAGCATTTGGATAAGCTGTTTGCTTGTTTATAGAATATTATATACTATTTGAAATTATCTGCTGTCAAAGAAATGCGTTTCTTTATAGAGCACCAGCCTGTCTACGTGGATTTCCTCCTGCGAGGCAATCTCGCCTAACACAACTTTTCCTGGCCCTGTTGGACTCTTGGCAACCTTCTATACACTGTTTCTCTAAAAGAACCATCTTCTAACCATTTCCTCCTGTCTCTTCTAAAAGAATGCTAAAAACCTCTAAAGCCCTTTACATATTTTAAAGGTGACTTCTCATATTCAGAAGTTTAATATGTTTCAAAGGACATGATTTCCAGGATATTATATCAAAAAGTTACTTCATCTAAAGATATCCAAAGGAATTAAAACAGCACAGCAATGTACATTCATCCCTGTTAAAAACCCGTCTGGGACAGGAGATGTGGCTCAGTGGCACAGCACTCAGCTCCAAGGCCCTGGGTTCATCCCAGCACCACAGAAAAGCTAACAACAGTCAGTCTCTGTCAGAAAGTTCAAACTGTTCATTTTTTTCCTCCCCAAATTCAATACAAGTTGTTCCACCAATATTCTTGCATTCTTTTAATCTTAAGTCTCATGCTAGAATCACAGTGCCCTATCAGTGCCCTATTGCTTTTTAACATCAACTCACTGATAATTCACTTTGTTCCTCTATTTTTTGGTAGCAAAATATGTAAGACCATCTCCACTGTGTTACCCAGTCATCAGAGTCACCGTTTTCCTAAAGCCAACACCAATATTTAAAATTGTACCTGAAAATTTTTGTGCTGTTGGGCAAAGCACCACTGCAAGCTTCAACACAAGCAAAGGGCAGGGCTGTCTCCTGTACAGTGGGAGAGGAAAATCGCAAGGGCAAAGGAGAGCAAGAAAAGGATGGACGGCGGCAGCAAGTGCGCTCAGGCGGGTCAGTTTTAGGGAAAAATACTTAATGATCTATACCAGGAACCAGCGAACACTTTCTGACAGCGAAACTTCAGGGCACTGCAGGCCATATGATCCTCTGCTCCTATTACAAAAGTCTGCCCATGTAGAGCCATATAAAATATGCAAACAAACATAGCTGCATCCCAAATTTGACCTGGAGGTGATGATATCTTACATGGCTTGCTAGTTCCATAATCTGATACTGTCCTGTTAATTCAACAGTTATGTTAAAATTGTTATTTGGAAAAGCAATGTCTGAATAGAAAAAGGAAACCACAAGCGTGCTTAAAGATGAAAAAGTAACCAGTTTAATCTTCCTTTCCTTATATATAACAATAGCAGAGGTTTTCATAAAGCTAAAGTGGGTAGGATACAGTAACTTAATCCAAGACTACCTCAAGTTTAAATCATAATGATGTGTAAGTTTAGGTACTGCTATCTAGCTCCAGAGACTATGGACTGAGCTGCCGTCCAACCGACAATGTACTTTCAGAATGATCACTGAAAACATGCATTGTTTCAGATGTGACAATGACACGAAGACATTTCACAGGGAACTAGCATCAGCTTTCCCAAAGTACCTAAATGTGTTCCATCCCAGGAGGAACCATGAGAGTCCCATGAAACAGTTTACACAGTAGTAATTTAATGGCAGTTTAATTTTTAGAAACAGTAACTTGTTTTATTCACAGAACAGACAGTAAGTGTCTCTCAGGAATGAGCAAATAATTCTAAAATGCTTGTTAAGTACAAGGGGAAACAGGTACTGCTATAATATCAATGTGAGTGTAAAAACCCCATTTACATAATAATTTGGCACTATCTATTAACACGGAAAACACACAGATCCATCAACCTGACAGTTCCATTCTTGGCTATCTAAAGACACAGAAAGACGTAAGTGCGAAAAGTCTCACTGTAATACTGTTTGCGATACAGCAGCAGTAAAACTTGGAAATATCCATAGTGTGTAAGAGAATAACTAAACCATGAACCCATTCTCTGCAGCATTAGGCGGGAATGTTCTCCCCAGCTCCCTCCTGGAGACAGGAGCCAGAGCCTCACATCTCTAGGCAAGCATTCTGCCACCAAGCCACATCCCCAGCCTGCAGGGGAGGTCCTGACAGGGTCAAAATGGGGCTGGAGAAGAAGTGTCAAGAACACTTAGTACTGTCTGAATTTTTATAATTAAGAAAACACAAGACTAGTCAAGTAACTGATTATTTTAAAGGAAAGCAAAGGCATTCCAACTTCAACGTAAAGTACAACCGTGACCACCGAGGAAATTACTTACTTCATCAATAAAAGCTGGTTCCGGCTCGGGCTCTATCGTCTCTACCTGGACATCATCACTAAATTGTACCGTCTTCTTCTCTGTTTTAACTGTAAAATACGTAAACATTACCTTTTCCTTATAATAAATTTAAGATTATATTTGAAATGCTAAGTTGAAAATCTAAGATAAAACTTAGATTTTTTTCCACTTGTTCCCCTCAAACAGACTCAACTGACAGAATTGGGCTGCTAACAGAAAAACACTGCTAAGAACATTCTTCAAATTCTATCAAAATTTCTTAATTTTCCCTTGCAAAGATTTTATGGATTCTGTAAAAAAGACTTCAGTAAAATGTTATGCCTCTAAAACAAAAATGAATCACCCACTATAGAAGAGTCAATAAACTTCTAGGGAAAAAACAGTTTTACGGTGGTATAAGTGAACTCTGTATTTCTTTTTTTTTAGAACTCTGTACTTTAAATCAATTCTCTTTTTAAATTATCAGTCCTTTTAAGGATAAATCCCACTTGACAGAAATACCACCCTGTTTCAGTGTAGCGAACTGAACACCAGCTCTCTGCTCCTTGGCATGCCACCCAGCCTGCACCAGGACAGTCACATCCAGGCCAGCGAAGAACTCTGCAAGTGGCCTTGCTGGGCCCTGAGCTGTCTGTCCTACACATCAGCTCAGATTTTCTAGCTATGTTAGATTTTGAAAAGACAAAGGGGTCATTAAGAGAATGGCAAGCCAATGGATAAAAACACAACTCTTGCTCACAAAAGCAATTTTTAAAAACTATTTCATATAACTAGTAAATGTAAAGTTATTAATGAGGAATTTCCCAATAATAGTAAGAGGCACATGCAGTTCTAAAGGAATGAACTTCCTTTCTGTATTTTCTTCCCTCTGTGAGATTAACCAGAATTCACAAAAATATTAAGAATCAAGACAGACAGGAAAATGTCAGTGGCAGAATCAGTGAAGGAAAGTATTTACTACACTATCATTGCGCTTGAAGAATATTCCATTTCTCCCAAAGAACCTCTAAACAAATTTGATGTCATATGCCCATTTTATACATAAGGTGGATAACAAAGACTAAAAATCCATTCACAAGAGAAAACTAGTAAACAGCAAAGCCGGGATTTGAATACCACTCTGCCACGCTCTACTCCTCCATCCTCGTCCTGCAATCTGGCCTGTGATTTTACTGCGAGCAAAGAAGTCCTGTCACTTAAGTGCTTTGTGTTTTGTCCTTCCACATAAAACAGAAATGGTTCAATTTCCAACATAAATTCGATATTCATCTCATCTGAGCCAGCATAAAACAAAGCATTCCACATACAAAAAGTTTCAACTGATTCATTCACCCATCATGGGAAACTGCCATCTACTACAGGTAATTTTGTTTTTATGGCTGTTATCCATAAGAAGACATGGCAGATTTCATATAGCTGATGATATGCAAATTATAGCTCTTTTTGTCAAGCAACTAATACGTGTGTATGTAGTATATAAAAATTATTTATATATACGAACGATAATGTGTTTTTATATCTTATATCTCCAAAACAAATTAGGGCAGATGCTTCCATTTGACAGGTTAAAAGAAGTGGGCTTCTACTCCCTCTAAAAGACTAACACAAGGAGGTCATGCTAGCATTCATCTTCCAAGCCTGAGAAACAGCTGCATTACTTAATCTCTGCTTCTCTTTTAGACTGCCCAGAGAGAAACACAGGAGGACTAGCAGACTTACATTAAAGCTGCATAGTGATAGGAAGAGAAAGAGGTGCAATGGCTACGTGCTCTTCATGAGATCCTGAATCTTGTCTTGAGCAGAATTTCTGTCCAAGACAATTCTAAACTTCCCAAAAGCTGATTTAAGGATCAAGAAAGTCCCAAAATCCAAAAGAAAACCACACATGCACATGCATGCACGCACACATACCGCCACCACAAGTCTGGTTATTTAAAAAGCTAGCGCAGTAACGTAGATATGGCTCAGTGGTAGAGCACTTGCCTAGCATTTGCAAGGTCCTGAACTCAACTCCAGTACATAAACAAGACAAGACAAGACAGGACAAGATAAGACTAAAATCCTCTACAGGGCATGCGGGCATACACCTATAATCTTAGCACTCTGGAAGGCTGAAGCAGAAGAATCACATGAGCACAGCCTGGACAACTTAGTGGCTTAGCAAGACACTGTCACAAGACTTATAAAAAAAAACTTTTTTAGAGGGCTGGAGATATAGTTCAAAGTGAAGGTGAAGGCCCTGTAAGTAATCCCCAATTACCACCCCACACCCAACACACACCCACAGCATACTACACAGTGCCATTTACACAAAGTTCTAAGAAAAAGGACCCTGATAAGAAGTATGGATGTCAGGAACCTGTTTCTACAAAGGTAACGTGAACACAGTGGCTGTAACTATGAGAAGACGGTGCTTTCTTACAGATCTGTAATTTCCAGGTAATGCCTTCTCTTCACAGCGCAGTGAAGTCCCTTCAATGCCAATAGTGTGTATGTATTACTTTTCCTGTAGATACTTATGTGGTCTATTACTGGATAATGTGGGGAAAAAAGATGGCCAAGACAAAGTCCTTTCTTCAAATTCTTATAAACTAAGTAAGAACCAATAATCTTGTGATTTATAACTTTCTTTCATCTCTTCCGACACTGCACAAAGATGAAATCAGATATTCTGCCACAGAACTACAACCTACTGACTTATATATAAAAACTCTAAAAATCTGAAACCTTTCAATCATTAATATAAATCTTTCAAGGCTTGCACAAGCTTTTCTGTTTACTTAAGTAGAGGGCGATTACGACTTAGATCTTGATGACTCGAAGCTCACCACTATGAAGTTCATTTAGGGGGAGCTAACTGTCTCCCAGTGCTTTAACAGAACACAGTAAGTTACACCTCCTGCAGGTATCACGGATGCCACTGGTACCGCTTTTCCTCCAAAAGTGAACGTTCTAGAAATGAGCTTTTCTAGAAATAAATGTTTTATTTTTAGTTCATTCCTCATCAGCAAAAGTTTAGAAATCAAACAAAAAAACCATAATTATTTAAATATCAGTCAATATGACTGCTCCTGTACATCAGACATGGCGGCTTAGGACCATTATGATGCTTTGAGCCTCCTGCTATCAAACATAGGGCAAGATACTAGAACACTGCCCTGACCTGTGAGGAGGAAAACCCTTTGAGATTATAGTGCATTCTTATACTTCTAACAGCTGATTAAAAAAAAAAAACCTAGTAACTCCGTAACACTTAATAGATTTGTACTTGTTCAGTGGCATGTATTCAGATACATACAGATAATTTTTAAAAGTCCACTATGTGTGTAAAGTTAATCTTGGTAGAGGATTTCAGTTCTTAGAGATTTTTTTTCTGATAAATAATCTGCCCTGACACTTGGGTGTGTGTTAAGGGGGGGGCCTGGGCGGTACTAGTATCCGTGAGTCACTGCTTCAGAAAGTTAATTAAGTAGAAGTTTATGGGTTACCTGCCATTCATCAACACACTGAAAAGCACTTACTCATTTCTGGTTCAGCAGTGAGATCCGCGGTCACAAAATTAGAGGGAAATAACCCGATGCCTTGATGGGTTTCACCTTTCCACCAGTTTGGATCACTATGATAAACAAAAGGAACAGTTTACTATAAAAAGGATTCCCAGAGCTGGGCACGATGGTGTACAACTGTAATCCCAGCACCTGGGAGGCTGAAGCAGGAGGATCTCCCCAAGTTTGAGGCCAGCCTGGATTACATAGCGAGATCCTGTCTCAGAAAACAAAAAAAAAAAAACAAACAAAACAGAAAGGATTCCTATAAGCTTTTATTTCTATAAATCTTTCTTTTATGTATTTAAATTATTACCAGATTGGAATCCCACAACAACCCAGTAAAGGACTCACTGAATGTGCATTTATTACAAATAAGAAGTGAGCCCTCAAGAGCAAATGAAAACTATTAGTTTTCTATCTCTTTGAAAGCTAATGAATCCTTTGAGAATCTAATAAAAGCTGTGAATTCTCATCTAAAAGAGGCTCTTCTGCTCAAAACATGTCAATTTCAGGTAGACCCTGGGCTCTAGCATAGATGTAAACCTTCATTCCTAAACCACTGCTCTTTCTAGTACATATTAACAAGGTTTTTTTTTTCCTAACAAAACACATATGAAAAGGACACCATTTTTCGCACTAAACACTCACAAAGAGAACACTCCCTAGGGGCTGGGGATTTAGCTCAGCGGCAAAAGCGCCTGCCTGGCAAGCGTAAGGTCATGAGTTCGGTTCCCGGTACCAGAGAAAAACCAAAAAAAAAAAAAAAACAACAACAAAAGAGAACACTCCCTAGTGTACACCCACGCCTACTTTACCACTGTGCCCCTAATGCCCAGTGCCCGGAAGGCTGGCAAGCATGCAGTGGGTATTTTATCAAACAACACATAACCAAGGTTTTGTGCAATTTCCGGTTAACCAGCTCAAGCTTTACAGCTGCTTTTCCTCACTTAAGAAAACATATTAAAGTATAAATGTTATGGTCTGAATATTTGCCCCCCTGAAATTCCTATGCTGAAATCCTAACCCTCATGGCCATGGTACTGGGAGGTGGGGCCTCTGGAAGTTCGTCTGGTCATGGAGGCAAAACTTTCTAGAATGGAAGTAGCTACCTTATAAGGAGACTTGAGAGAGTGCCATGTCCCGGCAGTGAATGAACTGCTGTCTATGAACAGGAAGAGGGTCCTCACAAGACAGGAAGCCTAGTGGCCTGGATCTTGGGCTTTCCAGCATTCACAACCATGAGAAAGTTCTGTTGTTTAAAAACCACCCTGTCTATGCACGTCTGTTAGAGCAGTGCAACAAGACTAACACAGGAAGTGACACTATAGAAATAACCTTAAATCAATCTGAATTTATTTTTTAAAACCATTTGCAAATTTCAGTACATCATTAGTAATAATAATCTGTAATAATTCATTTTCAATTGCAACATCAGAGTTATAGCTTAAAAACAAAACTGATAGACTGGACCACTTCCTCTATAATATAAATGTATAACTTCACGTAAAGTTCTCTCCCACATGTTGATATTGTTCTGTATAAATAAAATCAAAAGACTATGCGTTTCTTACAAATTCAGTATAGTTGCTAAAATTTAACTTCTTGGTTGATTTAACATTTATAATATTAGATGAAACCAAAAATGAACAGATAAAAGTAGACCTCCAAAACAAATAAACTATTTAAATAGTATAACAGAAAAAAATGAAACTACAGAGTAAGAATGTACACAGCAGGTCAAAAGCAAATCAGCTGTCATTCTGAGAAAACATCGAGTCAATACTTTGATTAGATTTGGTCACTGCATTCAACAAAAATAACATGAAACACGAAAGTATTAGGTATGTCCATGAATGTTCAATTTACAATTCGCCATTACCTGTCATCAAGAACTGTGATAATTTCTCCAGCTTTAAAAGTAAGTTCATTATCTTCAGCAGCTTCGAAGTCATATATGGCTCGAACCTTCCGGCCGTCATGTTGGTGGTTGGTTAAAAGGGTGGACGTGCTTGGATACAGAGTGGAAAGGGTAGTAGACTGCTGCCTTTGCTCCTTGAGAGACAACTCAATGGCTGGAAAATAAAGACCCAAAATGTTCATCTTGCTAACAGTGCAAAGAAGTACAAACAGATATCTCAACATGAAAGGTATTAGTCTTTCAACTCCAGCTGGAAACTTGGATATATCCTGATACAACAGAGTAAACAAAACTCATTTTGTCAATTGTATTCACGTATTTTGAATTGAAAGTTTAAAAATAAATTGACAAAACATCACATTTTTATTTTTACCACACAGATATAATTTACTCTAGGTAATAAAAAAAAAAAAACTCTTAGGTACTTCTTTTTTAACTTAACAACGGAAATTTTAGGTTTTCTTTCACCTTCTTAGAATTTAAACTCACAAAATGATAACCAAAATCACCCCAGCATCAAGAGGTCCACACCCTGCTATAGATTTACTTAATAAGAATCACAAAAGTATGGAATAAGAACCTGAATTTTATTGTCACAAGGGTAACTGTCATGTAATAGGTTCTAACCTCACCTAACAGATCCCTCTCAAGTGCCTTTCCTCTCTCTCCCCCATTACGGGAATATAAGAAAATATCTTTTAGGACCATGAGGAAGATATATCCTCAAAAAGTAAAACATGGCAAAAAAAACAACAACAACAAAAAAAACCCACGTAATATTAAATTTTTGCGGGTGTGGTGGTCCTGGAGACTGAATGCAGGATCAATGCATGCTAAGCAGGAGCTTTACTACTAAGCCATACCTTCAGCCCTTCAAACTTCTATTTTATGAAGCATACAATTATCAGGGCTAAAATATAAGGTAAGGATTCAGGATAAGTATTTTGCAATAGAAACAACAGCAATAGATTAATATCTAAAAGACTTGTACATATTATCATCAAAATAAAAGCACAATAAAAAAAGACAATTCACCTGACAAGATCAGAATAGTCAATATACATACAAAAAAAGATCCACCTCACAATTAGTCATGGATATAAAAAATAAAAATAGTTCACTATTACTCCGAAACTATCAGATACAGAAAAATTAATACCAAGCATTGTCAGATTAAAAATGATCATCATAGCAACAATAGCTTCCATACATCATTGATGGAAGAAGAAAGCCATATAGCCATTTAGCAAGGTTGAAGAGAGACCTATCCTACCCTGCAACACCACTTTCAGTCACACATAGTAAAGTCTCACCATATTCACAAAGAACATGCGCAAGTGTTCACTTTAACACTTGTTACAGTGAAAACAATCAGAAAAATGTCCACAGGGAGAGGACGGAAAAAGCACACTGCATCAGCACACTGCCGTAGGACACAGCAGATGCCTCTCAGAGAGGAAAGACATGACACCAGGAAGGGAACCAAGGAGATTTCTGCTTTAGCTGTAAACTTCTACTTGCTTTACGTTCAAATATCCCAGGGAAATAATACTCAGCTAGGAAGTTATCTTCTGTGCACCATCAGGGAGTTCAAAACCCACCTTTCGCTAAATCTTCCTCTTCTTTTTTATTAGCCACAGTACCAGGGTCCTTGGCTACCAGAGCTGGGCTTGCTTTGGCTTGTTCTGCAGCCTAGCATAAAAAATAAAGAACACAATATTTGAGGGTTGTTCACCAGTTCCTGTGCTCACACCTAATCTCTCACCATCGACCACACAGTTCTGAAGAAGACAGACATCCAAACTGGATGACATCCTCCTTGGAAGAGAGGGAAGAGTCAGAATTGGGGCAAACCACAAGAGGGGAGGGTGAGCAAGGGAAGGGGACATACGAAGAATTAAGACATATCACGTACATGTACAGACTCCCTACAATCAATGTAATCACCATGTACTGCAAGCATGTAGTAATAAACATTAAAATGTTTAAAAAGCAAAAAAAAAAAAAAAAAAAAGTAGAGCCTAAGCACAATTAAATAAACAGTGCCTACACCACTAAGAAGAAATTCATTAGGAGAAAATGACTGAGAGCAACTGGACACAGGTCAAATACATACCCCTACATTTGTATAAATAGTTTAACAGCATGCAAATCAGAAAAAAAAAAAAAAAAAAAACTACAGGAAATTTAAAGTTTAAAAAAAAAATTAAAAACAGAAAAGGAGTGAGGAAAGGGGAGCAGATTATTTTAAAAGCAGTTTTTTTAAAACATGTAATGCCTATTCAAGTTATAGTTTACTGCTTCCTTCCAGATCAAAAGTCGGAATATTATTCTTAGGAACCCATATTTCTACTTAACAATATAAATGCTCACAAAATCCTACTTTGTAAACCAAAATGCACAGTTAACTTTGACAGCATGTTACTGCCTATACTGAAGATATTTTGTAACTGAGGCAACGTGCTAGTAAACAGACAAACTGGTTCACACTCCTGGAATGACAAGCTCCCAAGACTCATCATTTCCATGGCCTTAGTCTCTGCACTCACTGAACATAAATCAGAATCCAACCTGTTTTACCAGCCTCGGTTTCAACCTTGCTATCAGTTCCCAGAGACTGCTGGCAGCTCTGAGTCTACATACAGGCACTTGCTCCCCTCTGACACACGTCTGCTCCTAATGTGCTTCCTCTTCAGACTCCCTTTGTTCCACACTTTTTTCCCTTATTGAATTAGTAAACAGCTAAAGTATCACTTTCTCAATGAAATATTCCTAAACCTTTTAACCAAGCATTCCCTCCTGTGTTCCTCTGATAACACCCTGATAAAGGTGGTTAAGAATGAAATATAGAATCAAACATGGGTTCAAATCCCACACCACTTTCTAGCAGTGCAACATGAGGTAGGTTAGCCTCTTTGAGGATAATCATAGCGCCTGTACTTCATGGGCGCCTCTCCATCTATATGGAAGATTAGATTAACACAAACGGCTTCCAAAATAAGATGAGATGACACCCATCCAGGTTTAAAGCAATGGTGTAACATTATCTCCAAGGGTCTATAAGGTCAGCAGAGGTAATTCACAGTCATAGCACAAAGGATGCTGAGATTGGGAGTCAATGGACCTACACAGTTGCAAGGTCTTCATATTTTACATCAAATGACAAATATTAATGATGCAGACTGTGCACCGTTACAAACCACATCTGCAGTCCCCAGAGCAAACAATTAAGAAAAGTCACACAGTAGCGCTTCGAACCATGCTTCTATCCCAGCTCCTACTGGAATTATCTTGCTTCTTCTCTGTCTCTATAACTGAAGTGCACGCTCCTTGAGGGAATGCTGCTAACTATTAAAAGCAATCAATAAATGTTTGTTGAACGTAATGAAGGCAAAACACTCAGTGTTACTGTAAAGAACAGTCCTGTATTCTTCACTTACTGTATTTTGTACTGTCAAATGAATGCACAGGAACTGATTTTAGAAAAGCTGATAAGAAAAACACTTTTTGGAATTCCCTTAATATAACTTTAAGCATTCTCAATTCTGAACCATCACTAGCTGTAATCTCTGAAACACAACTATCATATACTTTGAAAATTGAAAATATACTTAGTCTGAGACAGCTTCTATCATTTGTATGAATTTTTTTCAGTCTGGTGAATGTCACCGGACACCCTGATCTTCTGTGGCCCTTGAAGGACTGTCTGTCACTTGACAGGGAGCGCAAAAACAAGCTGCAGCAAGAGTTATGCTCCCAACTCACATTTTTCACGGTGGTAGATACTCAAGCATAAATTTTCTTAATATTTTTACATTATTTTCTTCTGTGCCTGAATGAAAAATAAATACTCAGAAAATTATGTTTTCAGTATGTGCTGACAAAAACCTAACCTGATAAAAACATAATGATGATCTAAGCAACTTAAGTGGGTTTAAAATCTAGACGAAGTTCTGCAGTTGAAATTATATATAATTTCTTTCCTTATTACTGGGAGGAGGGTCCTGGAAATTGAACATAGGCTGGGTTTGAACAACTTTCCTGCTTCAGCCTCCCAGAGTGCTGGGATTACAGGTATTCAAATATTCCTTGTGGCTGCAAGATAACAACTAACAAAATTAGCTTTTGCATATTTTATAATATGTAGCTGAAAAGAAGAAAAATCTTAACTTTCTTATTAGTCTTTTCTGTCCTAAACAGTTCGAACAAGAGAATAACGAAAGAAATCCTCTTGCCATTGTTGACTGTACTTCTTACCCTTTGAAGTCCAGCAGGGACAGACACATTTCTACTAAACTCTATCAAAAGGAAGGCAGAACCAGGCAGTGCCAAGAACGATGGACCAAGAGTCAGCGTGCCTGTGTTCTAGTTCCAGCTGTCAGCTGCAAGCCACGACCCTGGGCAAGTTCCTTTACTGCTCTCAGCCTCACATTCCTGATCAGTAAAATCAGATGATTAGATCAGAGGACCCCTACAGTTGTTCCCACAGCTAACATTTTAGATTAACCAAGCAAGCACACATGTCACACGATGATTACCGCCTTCTAACAGCCAGCCCACTTGTAGAGTGAAACATGGTTTGATGCTTGCACTGAAAGCTGTACCTACAGCACTGCTTCTCAAACTTCAAATGCACTCAGTCACCTGGGACCTTGCGGCATCGAACCGAGAGTCCACAGTATGGAGTGTGGTACCTGAACGGCTTCATCCTAACATGCTTCCAGGTGAGGTGGACGCTGGCCAATGCATCACATTCTGTGTAACAAATTCTAACACTAAATGCCATTCCACTAAACGTCTGCGCTCTTTGATTCTTTGTGTTGAGCCTACTCTTTGATAAATAAACATTCTTTCTATTGTCAAGGGATTTTTACTATCTTGGGTTACTCTGCATAAAATTATTCTTTAACTGCACACCCTTAGAATCATTCCTAGTAAAAGCCAATTATGAACAAATACTTCTCAAAGACATAGTATGATTTTTCAAATGAAAATTTGCTTCCCTCTTCTTTCAGATATACTTCTGGATCTTCACATCTCAAGAGCACTAAGAGAAAATGTGAATACCTTGGGAAGAAAATCTAGACAGATCTGGATGAAAGTAGATACTCCAGATGACTCCTGAACGGGGTCAGCGGCCCAAAGGTAACCCTGAACAGCTGACAATGTTCCACATAGAGCTCAGGCTACTCGTAATATGCCCTGATACATATCATGGAGAGAGAAAGTATACCAAATTACCATACCTTTTAAGCCTCTATGGAATGGTCACCTGTTCCTATATGACATCTCTCAGAGTGATCCCATTACACAATCACGTATGTTTGTATGTCAGGTGTGAGGGGAGAGTAAACCCTTCAGCTAACTCTGCTGGGGAGAATGGAGACTTGTGCACTGATCAGGTCTTAGTAAGAAATAAGGTATCTCATGTGCTCCTCTTCCCATTAACCCCTCTTATCTCTTCCCATTTTCAATGGCCACCATCAAAAAAATCAAACAAATGTTGGTGAGGCTGCAGGGAAAAAGGAATCTTCTACATCGCTGGTGGGAGTGCAAACCAGTACAACCACCATGGAGATCAGTATGGAGATGCCTCAAAAAACTAAAACTAGAAATTCCATGCAACCCAGCTATTTCCCTTCTAGCTATCCTTCTGAAAGAGTTAAAGTCATTTTACATTACCGCAATCCATGCATATCCATGTTTACAGCAGCACAACTCATAAACTCACAACTCAGCCACATCTTGGAACTGGCCCATATGTCCATCAATAGAGAAATAAAGAAAACATGGTATTTTACACAAGGGAGTACTACTCTGTCATAAGGAAGGTTGAAATTGAGTCATTCGTAGGAAAACAGATGCACCTTGAGACCATAACGTTAAGTGAAATAAATCAGACATATGTGCTCAAATATCACATGGTTTCTCTTATATGAGAAACCCGAAATACAAATAAAGAGCAAGATAAAAGATGGATAATATAAGGTAGGGAGATAGATCTCTTTCAAATGGGAAGTGGATGAAGAGATGCGGGGGCAGCTGAAAGAACAACTGAGATGTGTTCCGTACATGTCACCTCCCCACCAGGAATGTAATGCGATCATTACATAATGCACGCAACAGACTAATAAAAAATTTAAAATGAAAATAAAATTCAGGTCTTCATAAATTTCCTACTCAATAAAACATGTAAACTCATCTCTAAATTTTAAAAATACCCTCATTTTTAAGCTGTCATTTTTTGTGGATAAAATTGTAGCTTTAAGAGCACTTAACTGGTAGTGTTATCCGATACAGTAAAGACATCTTGTCCATATAAAAACTATAAAATGTAAATCACTTCATTTACAAAGAAGAGACAGTAAAAAAGAAGTTGGAACATATTAAAATTTCACTGTACCATTTTCTTTCACCTTTAAATACTAGATTATGATTAACAAAAATTCTCCTGAGTAACAAACCTAGGAATGGAAGAAAAAAGAAAATTTCCAGTACATGTAGCTATTTTAGAGAAACTGAAGCATACACAACTTTATAAAATACCTGAGAGCCAATAGCTGGGAAAGTAACGCCTTGCTCCTTAAGGTTCTTAATCATTGCTGATATCAGACTAAGCTGCGGATCGTTCTTAAATTCGTCAGTCCATTCAACCATAAGAGCTTTTAACTTCTCACATACTTTAGGGTGACCCTAAGACATCAGAAAAAAAATTAATGAAAATTTCTATTTCCTAGGTATTGACTGTAAACAGACTCTTTAAGAAGACAAGGAAAAGTAGTTCATTTTGGTTTGCTTTTGGAAGAACAGTGAAACATTACTGCAGTGAGAGAATAAATGGTACAGCTCTTTTAGTCTTAATTCCTGATTTTTAGTGTTCATGAATGTTGTGTTTTCCTCACGATAATCTTCTGAAGCCTGGTTTGTGGGATTTTACAGGCTAATCTCTCAAAAACCTTGTTTTTCAAAATATTTCACCCCATTATGTATAAAACTAATGCATAAATTGTAAAACATTTGGAAAATAAAGTCCACTCACTTATATGTAGTTGCTTTTCAAAACAGCTGCTTGCACCACTACCTAAGTTTGTATATTGTACCTTATAGAAAACAATATTAAAATCTCTTCATAAACACTCAAGACAGGAAAAGATAACACTTATTAATTATTAGAAAATAGCTAAAAATAACTATAAAAGACAAAAAGGATTATCATATTAATCATGTTTAAAAAGCACAAAATTTTAAATTATCAAATTTCTGTGACACTTTTTTCTACTAAAACCTGGCACTACTCATGTTTTTGCAAAAACACCTGAGACATTTCCTTTTTAATATTTAAATTTTTTTTCTTGATGTCTTATGCTAAAAAATTTCTAAAGCCAGAAATAATTACCTTTAAAATATATAAATTTTTATGAGGAAAACTCACACATTTGTTACTAATTTAAATTTTTAAAGCTTCTTGAATTGTGGGATGCAAATCTTTATTCCTTGCAGTTACATGTGGGCTCCCCTAGGGCCCGTTTTCCTTTCTTGCCGTGATGGAGAAATGCAGAGCACCTGGACTGTGGCCTGGCCAGCTACATGTTTTCCTCTATAGGCCTGACCCAAAGCCAGGGCTCTGAACATTCCCAGCCACTGACGACTTGTTGCTGCCTGACACACTAAAAGATCAAATATGTTGGTAAACCAAGAGAGCTGCCCTAGCCCTGAGCAGGTGAATTCTCATACAAACTCCCTAACACATCCGTGTGCTACAGATGTACTTGCATAGAATACCTTGTTCACTGTCCATCCTGACAGTGCAGCCCTCAGTTCCTAAGTGCCACAAACAAATGCATTGGACCCATCACCCTGGCTTCAGGGAGTCCTTCTTTAAACTCACACCCCACCCCATCTCGGGATGTTCTGGGGCTATCTCTGGCAGCAATGCCCTGTAAGCACAATGTACCAGCTCCGGTTGCAGGTATGGCCAGACAGAATAACAGTACAGTTTGAAAAGCCTGATGGGTCATGGTCTTATTCATATAAGATAGAAATTCAACAGTCAAGAGTCTTGTGTTCTGGTTCTACATTTTGGCAGTACTTCTGAAGGGTTCCACATTCAGAAAATACCTCTGTCTACAAAACAAAAATGCCTAAAGTAGACCTGTATTATTGTTTCATTAGATATAGAAAGATAAATATTTTCTTAGATGGAAGGAATGATATAAACAAGAAGCTACCTACACTTTAATATGGCTTGAAAATGCCAACTTTCAAAGTTACATGGATTTGTAGCCTCTAGCAAAATCTTGCTTATATAATGGATAGACACAGCCTAGAAGGCGGGGTGGGGGCAGATGAACACAAGCACAGAATAATCCTACAGTTCTGTGTGATTTAAAATGTGAGGGACTGAACAACAAAACACATTAAGAAAGAAGGTAACCTTAATTTCTAGAAATAACATTCCTTACCTTATTTAATACGTTGCTTACTTCACTAGCAAAATCTCTTGAACATACTTCTAAGTGAAAAATTTTGCCACAGTTTGATACACATGCTCCTAGAAGCTAAAAGCATAAAATCAGAAGTTAAAAGGGATCAACGCTGACAGAGAATTTTCTGGTAAGCTTAAAACAGAATCACTTACAGTCAGTGCTTGCATAGCAACATGAGGGTCTTTGTGGTTCACCCTCCTCATAATAGACCGAAGACAATCTTTAGGTCTAAAAAGTAAGAAATTTAACAATTAATAAGTTACGCATCTAGCATCCTCCCTTTAACTGTAGCAGGCAACAGGATACTACACAAAAGGGAAAAACATGGCAGTTATTTAATGTTTCATAATGACATGTTTGAAACACTGTACACTAATTAGTTCCTTTAAAATTTTTAAAAAAGAGTTAACAGGCTCATTTACTTGGCAATCACGCATTAGGCATCTCAGGCTAATGCTGGGTGAAAAACATTTGAAAATAAAATTGTAGGCCAAGACTCCTACTTCTAGTTGTGACAGAATAAATGCAACCAAATGTATACTCTTTCAGTAAACAATAGAAAAGGAAAAGATACATTTAAAATATATACCGGATGCAGCCCACGGCCTCCACAGTGATGACAGCTCCCCTGGGCCTGCGACGGGGCTGCACTTCCCCAGGGGAGACCGTTACCGTCAGCAGCTCTTGCTCCCCAGTAACCAGGTGCAACAGCGAGGCAGTGACAAAAACACAGACGCGTTGGAAAAGATGCAGCGGAACTGGGAAGAGTGCACTGCTCAGGCACCAGAGAGCTGTAACACTGAAAAGGCCACCTGGGCACATATCAAGTGTTCTCGCTTGACATGTATGGGAGTGAGGTTGAGATCTTTGTATAGGAGTGAGGTTAAGATGTACAGGTTACCACGTACAGGAGTGAGGTTAAGATCTTTGTGATGAGGAACGAGTTCAAGTGGGAAGTCTGACGAAGTGTACGACCTCGCCCGGCACTGCATCATGGGGAGACTTCGGTAGTCAGGTGACACATGAAACCAAACACTCCCTCTACGTCTACCTGGGCCACATGGCTACTCTCCTGCTCAAGTCTGGCTAGCAGCACGCGCTGTGCCGCTCCCAGTGAGGTGTCCAAAACCAGTACCGCACCTTCAATTCCACTCGCCGCACAGAAATCCTCAGCTTGGAGCACCTCGATCTCAAACTTGTATTGCTTTTTCAGGGGATTCTCTGTTGCAGTTACGATTATCTTAAAAACTGGCAGAACAGCTTTTTCTTTTCAGGGCTAGGAATTGAATCCAAGGCCTGTGTACAGGAGGCAAGTGCTCCACACCGAGCAACATCTCCAGCCCGTGAGTGTATGTGTTTTCTAACCCCCCATGCTTCCCTTGCCTGGGTTTTTTTCCCCTAATTCATTCCTTCAAAAAGTAAATCAGTTGGAGGGGGTTAAAAATGATGGACCAGCAGGAAAATGTAGCCTTGTGAAACCTGGAATCAAGAAACTTGGAAAGCAGCAACCTCGGGGAGGAAAACAGAAGCAGAGCTCTGAGAATCAAGAAAAAGTCAACAGGAAAACTAGGAAGTACAGAGAAACTGAAGACAACACAGGGAAAAGAACAAAGCAATCAGAAACACTAACCCCCACATGCGCAAGGTAAGCCCGGAAAGGGCCAGAAGCCCCCAGGAAAAGCAAAGCCTCGGTGCGCAGCACCAGCCCCGACAAAATCCCCTGGTATTACAAATTGCAAATACGGCCTGGGCCTGTACTCCGAATGTGTAGGCTAGAGTTGGAGAAGGAACTCACTGCAGCCTCCACCATACCTGGGACTGATCAATCAGAAGCCATTTTGGAAAGGGGTTTATTAAGACGGAGCTATGCTGAGAATCAGAAGTCACTGAACAACGTCATGCCAGGGTCTCTGAGGTCAGCCTACCGCACTGACTGGACAGGAGGAGCCACAAAGCAGTCATGGAGAAGGGCCGGGCTATCCACAGAACCCCTACGAAGGTGAAGCAGCAGTGTGTGGATGTTATGAAAGACACAGGAGGCTGGTGATTAAGAGACACCACTCTGTGGGGAGAAGCCAGGTTGCAGGTAGGGTTTCGGAAGGGGCTGGGTCTAGAAGTGCTGACTTTAAGTCCAGCAGACTGCTTGGCCCTCCTCACTGCCTGCTTCAGCACCAAGCTCAGTGGTCTGTTTGCTCTTCCCATCTGCCGGCATAATCAGGTATGGACCCCGGCTTGCACAGCTGCCACGTCGCGGGGTGCATGGACAGAAAGGCCTCTGGGGCAAGGGAGGCACCTTACACGCCCACAGTCCATACAGCCAGTGGAGACAGCGGTGAGGTAGGGAGCACAGAAGGGCACAAACACTACGCAGCTGGCATGAATAGAGCCATCAGGCAGACAACATACCACTGACTCACAACGCCCAGAGGGAAAAGCAAGCCGAGACTCAGCATCCACACAGCAAAAAATGGGTGTGGAAACAAAATAGGCCCTTAGAGGTGACTCACTACATTCCACAAACATCTGATAAATCCCAATTCCACAGATTCTGTAAGGAATCACTCACCCAAACACAGGAATGAATTTTTTTTTACTCGTTTCTCTTTTTCTTTTTTTTGTTTGCATTTTCCCCTATCTTTTGTTCTGTTTTTACTTTTTATTTTTCTTGCCTTTTTCTGTTATCTTTACCTAATTTTATTTACTTTCTTTTACTATTTAATTGGATTGTTATCTCACTTTTCTCGCCTCATCATCACCCTTCTTTCTTATTCAAATTTTACCTCTTTTATTTCCTCTGCCCCACCCCTTACATTTTTATTATTGCCATTATTAATCTTTCATTTTTAGGTATGCTATGTTGATGCTATGCTATTAATACTGAATTGTTAAAAAAAAAAAAAAAGAAACAGTTCTGGGGATGTGAACCCAGGGAGTGCTGAGCTATATCCCCAGCCTTATCCTATGCTCTCAAGTTTGTGACAAGATCTAGTGAGTTGCCCAGACTGGGCTCAATCTTGCAATTCTCCTGCCTCAGCTTCTCAAGTAGCTGGGATTATAATCGTGTGACACTATGCCCAGTCCATTACAACTATTCTTAATAGGCTACTGTACAATCAAATATTGGCTAACCATGATCAAAGCCCCAATTTTTCCTAACCCTCAATGCTTCTGACAGCTGGAACACAGCAGACAACATGGAGGTTATTACTACTTTTTTCAAGGGTCAAGAAGACTGGTAGTCAAAAAACTATCTAGCCATACACGTAAGTATGTAAGGGGGACCATGGCGTTACTTTAGTCATTCAGAATCCCCCTTGCCATAATCAGACTGATTAAGAAAAATGGGATCCTGCTACCCAGATGATCTGAGTCGGTGAACCACTGGTTCTGACACTTATAGTCAGTTTTTATTTTGATCTTCTCAGGCATTTGTACCTAAGACTCCTCTGCCTAGCAAGGAAAAACCTCACATAAATACCACGTTTCAGTGTGGCAGCTTCCACAGTGCCACAGCCTGCCCATTCTGTTAGCTGCCTACTTTCTCTTCTTTGTTCTTTTTGCTTTTCTTCATCTTCATCACTATCCTCATGCCAGTGCCTGTCTTGCTCCTATGAATCTGTTTTTTGTCTCTGTCTTTCTTCTTTTGCTCTAAAACTTCCTCCTTGACTTTTTGTTCCCACCTGTTTGTTTCCAGAACTTCTTTTAATGGGGTAGTGAACTAGTGGAACTCCATGTCTTCCACAGCGAAAAGCATATCGCTGGCATTGAGTGTCTTGCATTTACCTTTCATGGAGAGATCGCTGGCACAGGATGTGGCTCACAGCACCAAGATGCTGGCAGTGGACTGCAGCTCTAGGTTCCCTTGGGGATGCTGACACTATCCAGGAGTGCCTCCCTAATGATCTGGGCGATAAAGGTGCTGGGCGGGTATATGTCCTTAGCCCTCTCTGCTTCAGCTGCCACAAGGGCCCAAACCTCTTCTGCCATAGGCCTCCCGGATCTACTGCTGAATTCTTTTCTATTGTTAATGGCGGGGTAGTTATTGCTTTTCTTAAATAATTACTGTATGTCAATACTAGCTTGTATTTGTCTCTACATTACTGCACATCTCATTCCTATTGTTAGGGATGGTATGGCTATAGCTATTATTGATTCATATAGAATGTCAATAACTGGTTAGCCCTTGACTTTATTAATACTGCTGATTATTTTTCTATTGTTCATGGTGGCAGAGCTATTGCTTTTAATTGGTTTTTACTGTATGCCAATATGTAAGTTGTCTTTCTATTGCCAATATTACTGTAGTTTGTTTCTCCTCTCTAATTGGCATAGGGGATTAAGCCCTAGAAGAAAGTTGGACACTAAGAAGATCCTCAAATATTAACACTAAATAGTTTGAATAGGCTTACAAATAGCAAAACATAATCAAACCCACGGACACATCACAGGTAGACAGAACCTGACTAAAGAGATCTCCACAGCAGTGTCAGTTTTTCTATCCTAACTGATCTCAGCCCACAGCACGAAAATAATATAAACACTAGAGAAAGCAAGGCAGGGGCTGGGGATTTAGCTCAGCGGCACAGCGCCTGCCTGGCAAGCGCAAGGTCATGAGTTTGATTCCCGGTACCAAGAAAAAAACAACAAAAAAAAAGCAAGGTAACATGTTTCCGCAAACCCCCAACTTCTCCCAATCCAATCTTATGAACACTGAAGTAGAGGAAGCTATAAGCAAAGAACTCAAAAACAAATGGTCCAAATGTTTTAAGAGATAAAAGAAACACAGAAGCAAATGCATAAGATGTTTAACAAGCTCAAAGAGGATTTAATTAAACAAAGGATTCACCAATAAAATGTTCAACAACGTTACAGAATAAACAAATAATAGATTGAGTTAAGCAAGTTAACTGAGTTAAGCAAGACAATACATGAATGACCACTTCAGAGAAGGATTAGAAAGTAGGAAGAGAAAGCAAGCAGAGACAGATGATGACGGGAAATTTAATGGAGAGCATGGGTGGCAGCCTTCACCAGTGTGAGGGCAAAGTGTCAGAAAAGGAAGACAACGTGGATGTATTTACTAAGTGTCACAAAAACATACTGATAAAATTCAGGGAAGAAAGAAAGAAATATTTTGGAGACAAATAAAAAGAAGTAAAATATACACTGAGGTAACTAACTGTTTGGGGGCATTAGGAGCCTGGTAGAACTGAGTAACAGTTTGTATT